TTGGTGACTGAACGTCCCCCTGCTGGCCAGAAGTCACTCTGCTGGTCCAGTTTAGGAGCTATCGTCTTCATCGGTCCAGACTGTCCTGCTAAAACAACAACCCTGTGTCTGTGGGGTTAAGTCCTGGTATTGCTGTGTCTTTAGCTGCTGCCGGCTGATGAGACTGAACAGAGTCCGTCTGCCGTGTAAACACAAACCCTCTGAAGACAAAATGCCAGGGTGCCCCAGATCGCCCCCTACCAAGAAATTGGACTTGACAAGAAACAGACAGGTTCAAGCCTTGGCCTCCAGGCCTCGCTGCATTCTTCCAAAAACATAAAGTGCTGCATGGTTCTGTTTTTTTTTTCCTCTTTGTTGTACTGAAGAAAAACTAGCCACAAAAATACTAAAAGCCAACAGTTGTTGTGAATTACAGCAGTCACTTGACAGCAGAAAAGAACAGGGTGTGAGTTTACTCAGCTGTATCTGTGATACAAATCACCATCATGGGTAAATACTGCATTAGCAGTGGTGTCTGTGCTAACATCAGAGGTCACGACCTCTCAGTGATTTTTTTGGTTTTTGGTTTTAAAGACATATTATGTGAAGTGGACTTTGTCACCTGCTGTAATTGTGGCTCTGGAATGTCTTACTGCAGAAGTGAAGGCGTGGACAGAGGAGACAGTGAGCGAGGGCGTACAGTTTGGGTCAGTATACCTAGTAACATCAAAGTACAAGTAGTACAGAGTGACGGTCATCAGCTCACTGACAGTAATTGAAAAGCTGAAGCAAAAATTGTCACCTTCAAAATAAAAGCCTTGCATTTATATTTCGTGCACTTACACATTATTCAACAACAGTCTTGTGTGGGTCGGTTGGAAATAGTCAGAGGGTCAGACGTGGCCCATAGGCCACAGAGTGCCATGGTCTTTGTTAAGTCGACACTTTGATACAGATTTTACACACTAACATTCTGTAACTGCAGTATTATGGGATGTACTGGTCTTAACAGAGTAATTTATTATTAATTTCTAATGTGTTTTGACTGACGTTTTTCTAAAGTCTGTGACACATAAAAGAAAAAAGACCTTATTGGTAAAACTGGATTGAGATGCATTGTGGGAAATGTAGGATCTAAACCCTGTGGTTGTGAATAGAGTTGTTTTAGATATAATTGTTTGTATACTCAGCGAATAATAAATGATATTAAACCTGTAAGACACACACACACACACACACACTTGCTCCGAAGTTCTCAATTTAAATTTTTTCTCTGAGTGCTGACACTTGAAAAACTCTTGTCATAAAAATGAAACTTTATTGATCCAATCTCTGTCAAAATTCTAAGTTACAAGAATGAAACCACAACGAGAAACAAATACAGAAAAGTGACAGAATCCTTCATCGTGTTGTTGTTTACAAAGTTGTGTCAGCAGAACGCGACCCAGGTGATTTCAGAGTGACCTTTCGGGGGTCACACGGTGTGTGCTCGTCCTTCAGGGTTAATAAATATGAGGGATTATGAAGTGGGAGAAGTGAGGAGAAACAAAGATTAACAGATGAATAACTTATGAGAGACCTCAGTGTGGACCTTCATGAGGATTAACTCCTTCTTCTCCCAAACGTGACGTATCATATTTCCACAAGATATTGTCTCACTCCCTGAATCTGGTCGGCGTTCAAGCTGACCTTCTTCACCACGTGTCTGTCTCTGCATCAACTTTGGCTTCCATCCATCCAACCACCCATCCATCCATTCATTCATCCTTCCATCATCCATCTATCTGTCTGTCCATCATCTATCTATCCAGTATAAGTATGCATTTGTGTATATATCTATATGTGTGGTTGTGTATATAAATATATACAGTATGTGTATATATTTATGTACATGTATGTATGTGTATAAATACACTGTATACACACACACACACACACACACACATATATATATATATATAAAATGTGTCCTCCTCCTTGTCCCCCTGGTGGGGGGGGGGGGGGGGGGGTGTCCCTGTACCCTGGTCCCTTTGTGTCTGTCTGCTCTCCATGAATAGAGGCTTAACCATGGCCTGAAGCAAAGTTCTTCTGGTCCCTCATTGATGACCAATGCATTATTCATTTATTTCCATCATATCATCAGATGTTCTCATAAGCTGGACCCAGTTATTTTGGTGTTGGCGGGGGGTGTCAGTGGGGGGGCAGTGCTTATATATATATATATATTTTTTTTTTTTAAACATTCTCGCTCTCAATCAGATTCTTGTCAAATGAATGAAAACTCCAGCTGAGATGAAAGCACCTCCATGTTATTGATTATCAGAGGGATTAACTCCCTCTTTGGATGTTAGGGCTTGGCCCCCAGTGTCACTGCACCACACCGCCCTCTTCATGTGAGGTGTGGATGTCAGATCAGAGGTGTCCACGTGTCCCCAGATCTCAACCTGGTTCCAGCGGTACCTCACAGTAATAAGACAAATCCAATCCACCAGAGTCCCACCTCCTGGCTAACTTTAGCCCATGCCTCTTCTTTTTTTATTCCAGTCCTGATAAAACGTGAACTGCTCTGCTTACTTAATGGAGGTGACGTCGGAATAAAAGTTCAGGTGTCTCCACTTTCACTTCATTTCCAATGCATCTGAAGCTCATATCACGCTACATCGTGTGTCGTTGGCATTGATTGTGAATGTGGAACTGCTGCTAAATCTGCACCTATGGCTTTTGATGAATCACCCAGTTCAGCAAAAATGTTACTGGTTCAAACCCCGACTCTGACTGTTGTAGTTTACATGTTTTCTTGTGTCGGTGGGTTTTCTCCAGGTTCTCCAGGTTCTAGTATCTTCCTGTAGTCTAAAAGCGTTCCAGATAAGGTCACGCTTCACTCTGAACTAACCGTAGTTGTGAATATGATTGTCAATGTTAGTGTGAATGGTTGATGACAATAGAGTTTTCTCAGTTGTAAAATGGTCAAATGTCTTCAGTTTTAGTCAGTGTCTGGTGTTAATCACTTTGTTTTTTCTTGGATTAGTCAAGTATTTTCCTAATGGGACTAAAACACACACACACACACACACACACACAATCACATTTCACATACGCTTTATTTTTTTCCTTCTGTCGTCTGGGCATCAACGATTCATTTTGATGCCAAATATCACAGGGAACTGTGAACCCGTGGAAGTGTCGCGACTGGCCCCCGAGCCAGACTTTGAACGTGTATCCCTCAGAGGTTGCGTTCAAACCATACATGTAGTTTTAATGACAGCGTTTTTTGTCTCTTTACTTCAGTTCATTTAAACCTAGTTCACCTCAGGCTAAGGTTTAAATGGGATTTTCTTCCATATTCAGCAGAAGGGACGCGACTCAGCCAGTAGGTAAGACGAGGAACAAAGAGTTTGAAACTCTAGATCCAGTGTCCACGGTCCTGTGTGAAGAAAGTCAGCGCCCCGGCCCAATTATCCCTCACTCTGTCTCCTTTACCTTTTTTCGCTTGGAATGAAAGACAAACAAAACCCCAGAAGCAGCTGCTTGGACGCTGTGTCTCCGTGAAAGAACGGCTGCTTCTCCCTCAACCTCCTTCCTCATCCACTCCCTGTGTCTCCAGCCTTGACCGCACATTATCTTTCAGCCTCCTCTTCCTCTTTCTCCTCTTCCCTCCTCTCTCCTTTTCTCTCCACCTCTCCAAGAATAAAGCGCTCCTAATGACCGTGGGCTCTCAAGGGCCTGCTGGTGCCCGGGTACTCAAAAGTACGGCACATTGGAAAAGGGGAGCACCTCCTCCTCCTCTTCCTCCCCTTTTATCACAGGTGAAAATAGAGGGTCAAGAGGGGTTAATGTGCTGCTGTTGCAGAGAGGTTTGGGCTATCACCATGGCAGCCAACGTGGTCAATACCAAGGTGCATTTCCTTCCTCCTGTTAGAGAGGTTTGTTTATGGCTTTTTTTCTTTCTTTCTCTTTGGCCCTTGGGTTCAACTTCATTTTTAAATTGTAGGGCTGAAAAGGTTTAGCTTTGACATTTTCAAGTGAGTTCAGGGTAAAAAGATGACGTTTTTAAGTAAATGTGAAACTGCTGTTGGCAACTGGCATAACGGAAAAAAAAACCAAAACCTAATCCAGAAGCCCAGCAAACAGGAAAAAGATAAATCAGCGCCCCCTGCTGTGAAGCAGATGTATTGTAAAACCCAGAAATATATGCGAGGATTAGGCTATTGATGGGGTGATTGTTAGTGATGTGTTAAACACTGGTGTACGTACAGTGGTGTCCCGGAGAATGCTGGCCAGGTGTGGCAGTTGAAAACTTGAGGGTGGTAAACTGGAACCAGTCCAGGTCCAGTTCCAGCCTGTGGTCATCATGTTGTACTCCTATACGTTTCCTGTCTTCATACTATTCCAACATATAAATATTCTTTGCATCGTGTAAATATTGTAGCACTCGCCCCTTAGTCATTGTCTTCATTTAAATGTGTATCTACTACTTGTGCGCTGTAATGCAGTCTGCAAATTGTTGCTCAGTACCAGTGGCATATTGTGGAATTATTTATTTATTTTTTTATAGATTTGAACCATTTTTCATTAAAAGACAATATATTGATCATCTGTATCTACAGTTATGTCCACTCAGACCACCATGCCCCCCCCCCCCCCCCCCCCCCCCCCCCCCCCCCCTTGGACCCCTTTCTGAGCAGGAACATCACCATCAGCCCCTCCAATGACACGTTTTCGTGTCATTTTTATCTGAGAAAATTACATCTGCCCAGATTATTAGCTATGAACTCAGCATTGCCTCCTTGTGGATGTTTGACTTAACATCCATGGTATGGGAGTATGTGGTCAGATAGCTGTTTACATATGTAAAGGGAAAATAAATGAAGCTTTAAAGCACAAAGTTGAACATGGATGGTTAAGAAGTAATAAACCCAGTAGTTAACTCGCATTATATCAATTTTTAGACTTTTAGTTTGCTGTGGTTGATAAATAGATGACAATATTTTTCAAAGCTGCTTCTCTTTTTCTGACCACAGGTGAGGCAGCCTGCAGTGACCTGTCCCTGAGTTTCTCCTGACGCAAACAGAAGAGCACAGACCATGAACCAAAGGTCATGTGACCAAAAGGCAGAGGTCGTTTGGTGAGTTTCAGCACAGACAATAAGTGTCCAGTTGCTCTGCAGCAGAAAAGTACACACTCACATGGTGTACATGTGGGGAAAAAAGTCCTCGTGGCCCTGACACACACAGCACAGGACAGAGTCTTTCTGTGAAAAGAAAAGATTTTACACGGTGCAGACCTTAGAAAATTAATCGCGAAAACCCTGCAAGGCTTTCTGTGCTAATTTTTAATTCCGCTTCTATAATAAATGAGCTTTCTCTTTTATTCTTTTTTTTATTCCTTCAAACTTGAAACAAACGCAGCCAAATGTGAAATAATTATTTTCAAAGAAAAGAAGAAAACTTAATTTACCATTCTTTGGCAATTTGAATTTCGATTTCTGTGATTTCTGCACTTTTCCCTTTCACTCACACACGTGTACACACACTCTCTCACACACACGTTCTCTCAAGGTTCTCACTTTAATATCAGTGTGGATCAAAAGCCTTTCATTAAGGTTTTCTGCGCTCCTTCCAGCATTGTTTTGCTCCTAGGATAACAACAAAGTGCTTTTTCTCGACGCCGGGGAAGGTTAGCAGAGAAGAAAGAAACAGTTATTCCTGGGCTAAGTTCACATCAAACACAAGGGGCTCCAAGTGAGAGGAGATGAAAGCAGCAGGCCTGACCCGGAAGATTAGACCAACACTGCTGCCAGCTCTGCAGCACCCAGGGGCCATTCTCACCCTGGGATGCTGCCCTCCCCTCCCTCCTCCTCCTCTTCTTCTTCTTGCAGCACAATGGACTTCAGCATGGAATGAGGCTGTGGAGGAAGAAGAAGAAGAAGGAGAAGGGAGTAAAATACGAGCAGGGGCAGGAGATGGAGGAGGACGAGCAGAGAAACAAAGATACAAAAGAACAGAGTGGGGAGGACAAAGGGAGGAAAGAGGGAGGGGAAATGGATGAGCAGAGGAGATGAAAAAGAAAAATTTAATTTAATTTCACCAGTGTAAAAACTGCCGACTGTCCCAACCTACTTTTCTCGCCTCTGCTGCCGCCTCTGCTGACAGATAGCGGTGAGGCTGGAAATAATGCTGATTATCATAATTGCTTAAAGTGTGTGTGAATATTCATTATTCCTCCAGCCTTATTATAGCAACAAATCCGCAGCACAATGAATGTAAATGCCTCGTGATTATTTTACACAGCGCCATGACGCCTCAATCCCTGCGTGAGGAGTGAGGAGGGTTGTTGTGTTGTCTCTGACATCAGCTGCCAGAGCTGCTGCCACGCATTTCCCCCGAGGAGGGAAAAGTGAGATTAAAGGAAAGTAAGATGGAGCAAAGAAAGAAGAGTGGAATGAAGGAGAGAAGAGTCGTTAAACACTCAGCAAGTGAAAAAGAAGAGGAAGAAAGAAAAAGAGGAGAGAGGAGGAAGGGGAAGAGCTGAAGATAAAGTGGAAGAGAAGGAGGAGGAAGAAGAAAAGATGAGAAAGTACACGACCAGAACGACCAGTAAGAAGATGAAGAAGCAGCAGCCTGGTTTTGAAGTTAAAATCTGATCGTCCGATAATAATCCCGATCACAATTTTCCCAACGTGCGATCAATTTTTTGAACATTGAACCCCTGGGTCCAAGTCAGCCCTGTAGTCCCACAATCACCAAGTAGACTAACCAACCCGACCAGCAAAGTTAACGAGTGTCAGCCAATCAGAGGGTGGCGGCTGATGCCATCCTGATGAACCTGATGTTGTGGTTTAATGGACAGAGATGTGAGCGACTGGAGTGTAGACTCAATGAGAGGAAAAAATCATAACCTGCTGGTCTCCATATTTTCAGGCAAATTCCCTGAACCTTGAACCCAATGTTGCTTTTTTTAATAAGCAGATCTGGCAACCGTGCATGTGTTGGTGCAGAACAGAGCAGTCGGCCTAAACTGCCCAGGCTAGGGGTGAGTTGAGAGGAGCATAAGATTCCACTTCCCCCTCTTCTATCTTCACACACACAGGAACACACACACACACACATTCTCACACACACTCAGAGACCCCCTCCTGTTTCTGTGCCCATGTATCTGAGGTGCCAGATGGCAGAGGACAAATCCTCCTGAGGAAAAACAGCATGGTGGCCCCTCCCCTCTCTCACCCGTACATTCTCACAAATTGAAGACACATGGAAATACAGGGCCGTGGTGGGGGGGGGGGGGGGGGGGGGGGGGGGGGGGGGGGGTTGTTGGTAATACCCATCAGTGAACACCCTCGCACACAGAGAGAAGATGGGCTCCTAAGAGTAGGGTGTGATGCACGACTCACCGTGTTGGCTTTAAAAAAAAAAACAATCCTCAAAACGTCGTGGTTTTCACACCCTGGTCTATATTGGACCTGAGCTGCCTCCACTCTGTCTGCCGCCCAGACCGAGCTACCTGATGATACTATCTCACCTCCGCCTGCATGGTTCTGGCTGACCCGCCCTCAGACCCATGCCGCCATGCAGTACTCATGAAAGGTGTCCAAGAGCTTTCATGAGGAGACCGTGGTGGGGGTGGTGGTGGTCACGGTTGGGCTGCTCAGAGACAGCCCAGAGGAGAAAGATGAGATAAGAACTTCAGGAATGAATGAGGGTGACATGAGAAGAGCTGGAGTTGACTGTACTTCCTGCTGGTGTCCATACTGATCAAAGCTCTGTCAACGTACAGCGGTGGTCCGAGGCAACACTAGGTCAGGCTGGGTGTCTGTTGTTTGGATTTTGAAAAGAAAAGATTAATCACCACCTGTGGATCAGTCGTAATAATACATTCCGATTGATCATGATTAATCACTATCGTAATCAATCACAATTAATCATTGAGATGAATCAGTACTCCTGTGTAATCACTGGAACAGAGACCAATTTCAGCAGGTAGAGGTCAGTGTTTCTAACCTGTTTTTATTTGTGACTGAGTCAATGGAATTATTAATATGGAAAAATGTCAGGAAATATACCAAGGTATAAGTGAAAATATATCTTCATAGACTTGGTGTATTTTTGTCGTTTCTGTTCATCTTGACAGTGGTTCTAGAACCTGTGGAGAGTTTCTTTTAATACTTCCAAAGGACGGCCTGTGGTCCGCTGTCGGCACCTGAACTTTTTCTTAAAAGTTCATATTGAAGTCCAAATGAATTCCACTTTGTCTCCTCGTCAGATGTGTTCTTTGGCAACCAGCTGTTTGTGAATTCTGGTCTGAACACGATAAAAGGCTTGGTGTCCTTTGCTTCAATGTGTGTGTTTTTTGTTTGGTCAGCAGGTGTGAATGGAATGTCATTTCTATGCCAACGATGCTCCGATAGGCAGTTAGTGAGTACTGCACTTTTTACTACGGCCAATAAAGCAGTAGACTTCAATCATTTTTACTTTTTTTTATTGTCTGGATCCTTAGTCTTCTTTGGTCCTTTTAGTCTGACCCCCGTTGTGATATTATATTTCTATTGAATTATTTGCAATATATTATGATTTGTTGTTGTTGTTGTATTTACTTGACTTGATTATTTTAATGTTTTCATTCTAATTTATTTAACTATTAATGTTGTTGCTTTTGGTTTGAAAAACTATATATTAAAAAATGACCCTAATACTTGACCTTTGACCCCTTGACCCCACATTGAGTCATCATGTCAAACCCTCATTCCGGCCACAACCTGTTCTTGTGGGCCTTTAAGTAATTATATTTGAGTACTCCTGGTAATATCTGAATACTCACTGTTACCCCCACTCCTGTCTAAAGGGTTGAGGACCACGGACATCCTTGGTCTGGTCCACTATTCCTCCAGGCTGCTGGACTTTATCATTCAGGGTACAGGGCTGCAGCCACATCCATCAAACCGTATTTGGATTTATTCTCTCCACTTCAGTACAACTTTCCCCTGATGAAGAGCAAACCTCTGCTTTTGTACATGTACTTTAATTATTATTAAAATAAAATAAAAACAGGGAGATGAAGCATTTCTGTCTGCCTTGAACCTGTGCCCAGCAGTGTTTAAACTGACCATTTCAGAAAATCCTGCAGTTGATTTTTCTTCTTTTTTTTTTTAAATAATGACGATAATGACTGCACAGATATTTATTGATATCTGGCCACTCTTCCATCCAAAATACCTTCATCTCCATCTTTAAATTGGATGGGGAGTGACCTATTTGATTTTCTCTCTCTCTCTCTCTCTCTGTCTCTCTCTGTCTCTCTGTGGCTTGGAAGGAGAAGCTGCACTGGGAGGACAATCTGAGCCGTCCCACCGGGCTCCACCACTTATCACCAGCCTTCTGAGATTCTCTAAGATTCACCCACATATGAATAATCTCTCCCACAGGCACAATGGAGCATCGGACAGGGTGTGTGTGTGTGTGTGTGTGTGTGCGGGGGTAAGAGGGACTGTGGTGGGGGGTGACAGCGACGGATTATTTAGAAAGACACAAGGAGGGATGAGGATAGTTCGGGAGAGCTGGGGGGGTGAGAGAAATGTGGGATGGAGGAAGAATAAAGGGGGAGTTAAGGAGGCTGGAAGGGAAGTGGTGGTGGAAAGAAAGTGAGGAGAGAGGAAGTCTTTTGATCTGTTTCTCTCTGCGGAGCGAGCATCAGGGCGGATGGTGGATCTGAAAACTGGTCCCTGCTGCTTGAAGGGTCTGACTGGTTTATTAAACGCTCCCACCGCCCCCATGCCTCCGAGCATGATGGGATTAATGCTGGCATAACCCTTTACTTAATTCATTACAGAGGGACGCCGGCTAATTTGATTTGATATTATTTTAATAAAGTTCTGTGATGATTTGGAAGATTGTTTCAGGCTATCAGAAATAATTTTCCAGTTATTACTGCCGTTCAGGCCGCTCCTTTGATTGCAGCAGTCACTCTGGGTATGCGTGGAATACATTAGCTGTGTAAGTGTCGGCACTTTAGCTACAAAGCTAGTGAGGAAACACCAATAATGAGAGCACTCTGAGTGTTGTGAACCGATGCTGAGATTTGCTGTGGGCAGGCGGCGCTGCCAAGACAAAGATGACAGAAGAAGAATGGGAGAAGAAGGAGCAGGAAGGAGGAAAAGGACGGAGCAGGCAGAGATATTTTGTATGCATTGAGCTTACACATGTCACTATTGTTAAATCTCCCAGGGATACATGGTTGCCTTTCAGAGGAGCAGCACTGCTTTGTGTTATTCATGTGCTGGTTGAAGAGTCCGCTTCTAACGTGGGTGTCTCCGAACAAAAAAAAAAAAGAATCTTTTTTTTATTGTGAGCTGTGGACTTTGTTTGTCAATCCTTGGGCAGATGATCAGGTTCAGAGCAGGAAAAAAGTTTTCTTCACATCGTCACTGAACTGTCAGAGGTTTCGGTCATTGGTAGAAAATGTCAACACACTGAAATACCACGATACTTTCGATTCACGATACCTTATCAGTATTCTACAGCACTGTATCCTTTTTTTAATTAACAATTAACATGTTCAGAGCGTTGGTTCATTCTTGTGTTGCATTTAACCCTTCGACCGCTGGTTGAGTAGTATTTGAGACTTTGAGTCAAACAATCTTAATTTTTTTTGTTTTGTTTATCCAAATAAGTCCTGCAAATGCTTTGATTTTTCACTGCACTGTAGTAACCTGATGTTGAGCATGGAACAGCACTGTGTCTTTACTGTGTTGACAGTGGTCCTACAATTGAATTGTTATGTTGGCCTGTCAGTAGTATTGCAGTATATTGCAATAGATCATATCGTTGCCCCTGTATTGTGATACGTATGCTAACACAGTGTGATACAATGATAACAGGTCACACAATCACATGTTTGGGGGCTCGATCGTATCAGTGGCCCAAACCAGAATTTTCTATCTGCAAAGTCAGTAAATGGTATTATCACAAACTGTAGACATGGTCCAAAAGTGTGGTTTTGGTTTGAGCCCTAAGAAACACTGGAGTTTTTATAGTTGTTTGAAATGTAATAATATAATTATGAATTCTGAATTCTATGTGTGTAATAATAATAATAATAATAATATCCACCCATCCATCATCTATCACCAGTTCCGATTTGAATTGTAATTCTGATATTTATTCTAAATCTTTATTCCAAATTCTTCTCCTAGTTCTGGTTCTGGTTCAGGTCGGTAGCTAAAGTATATTCCATAACTTTCACACCCACTTCCTGTGTCTGTGTCCCAGACCTGAATGCTGAGGTACTCAGACCCGGTCAGTACTGCCCGCAGCCCCAGTCTTATAATTAGGTTCTGAAGAGAGTGAGTAATATTTCAGCTGGGCCTGTGTATTAGAATAATCCTGTTTTCCACTGAGCCTTTTGTCCACCTCGTGTCATGAGCCACTGCCACTTTCATATAATCTTCACCACTGTCTCTGCAGCCATTTACATATTCCTCCAGATAATTGGAGACACTCTCGTTGGCTCGCTCTCTTTTCTTAAGCCCTGCGCCCAGAGCCTGTTGGTTTAGGGAGAGAAGGTGGTGAAGTGAAGGACTGTGTGTGTGTGTGTTGGGGGGCGGGGGGGTGTCAAGAAGGAGGGGGGGGGACTGTATGGCAGTGACAATGTTTTTGTTTTGCGTTTTCCTTAAACCCCAAATGACACACATTTCCCTCTGAAAAGATAAGCCCTCAGTCAAAGGCCGCAGGAGATGTCTGTCTGGGAGCCTGTGAAAGAAGAGGGAGAATTACCTACCAGGGGTCTGGCATGGACCGAGAAGAGATGGGGGGGGGGCGGGGGGGAGGCAGGACGATGGGGAAAGATGTGGGGTGGTTGTGGCAGTAGGGGAGGGGGGGTAACCCTTATTCATTAGTCCGTCTGGGGTCCAAGTCGGGGTCACACAATGTGACGGTTGTTCTCCAGACCCCCAGACCTCAGCAGACACTTTTAATGGCCAGCGTTTCCTCTCCAGACAGAGAGAAAAGAGCGGGGAGGAGGGGGAGGTTGGAGGGGTGAGAGAAGAAGAAAATTGATGAAGAGAATGGTAAAGAGAAAATACTAAAGGATTAGAAACCAGCGGACTGGGGTCCAGGAAGGGGGAGATGAAGACGCATTTTTTTTGGGTCAGTCAAGTTCTCACCCTGGACATGTTAGTACAGGCCCTGGGAGTGAAAC